CACACACACACACACACACACTATGCACTTGGCGACATCCACTGTAGGAGATTGATACCAGGAGAGTGTAAGGCAGGGTAACAAAAAGTTTCATCTTTTAACCACCACTCTTCCACTCTCCACACACACTCTATGCACTTGGCGACCTTCAATGTAGGAGATTGATACAAGGGAGTGTAAGGCAGGGTAACAAAAAGTTTCATCTTTTAACCACCACTCTTCCACTCTCCACACACACTCTATGCACTTTGCGACCTCCAATGTAGGAGATTGATACCAGGGAGTGTAAGACAGGGTACCAACAAGTTTCATCTTTTAACCACCACTCTTCCTCTCTCCACACACACACTTCATGCACTTGGCGACCCAGTACCAGGGGAGCGTAAGGCATTCACTGAGTGTAAGACTGGGACTGTGCCATGAATGGATGAAGGCCGACATCGGGCCACGAAGGGATGATGAGGTGCTACAGAGGGCAGCCTAGTGTCAGTGACAGCCTCACTGGAGCCATTTAGCTCTGGATGCTCTCCTGTAACCACGATGTCCTCATGCAAGTTCCATTACCACACTCACATAATTCAAAATCAATAGTAAATGGAAATAAGCCGTTTGTTCATTACACGGCAAGGATTTGCTTTGCATATCCTTAACACACATTGGACAGCCAGCCTGGGACTCGGTCTCCCTACACCGGCTGTATAAGTGGATCAGCTGTGTGATAAATTTACTCCTTCCGTTAAACAAGTCACAAATGGCAGCTGTTGATATCAATACATCAGCATTTGTGTTGGAAGAACAACGCAAACAGTCATTGTATCTTTGTTTAGAACCTCTTAATGTTGGGTAGGATGGCTGACTGGCTGAGTATGGATTTCCGCCCTTTTTAGCAATATTCCAGCAATATCACGGCGGGGGACACCAGAAATGGGCTTCACAAGTTGTACCCATGTGGGGAATTGAACCCGGGCCTTTGGTGTGACGAGCGAATGCATTAACCACTAGGCTACCCCACCGCCCTGTTGGGTAGGATGGAATATTTCTTCAGGGGGATCCATGATTGTAAATGTTTGTAGTTTCGGTGTTTTTAAAAATCTTCATGTCGAGTGAGTGAGTGAGTGAGTGAGTGAGTGAGTGAGTGAGTGAGTGAGTGAGTGAGTGAGTGAGTGAGTGAGTGAGTGAGTGAGTGAGTGAGTGAGTGAGTGAGTGAGTGAGTGAAGTTTTACGCCGCACTCAGCAATATTCCAGCTATATGGCGGCGGTCTGTAAATAATCGAGTCTGGACCAGACAATCCAGTCATCAACAGCATGAGCATCGATCTACACAATTGGGATATGATGACATGTGTCAACCGAAGTCAGCGAGCCTGACCACCCGATCCCGTTAAGTCACCTCTTACGACAAACATTTGTTACTGAAGATCAATTCTAACCCAGATCTTCACGGGTTGAGTGACTGAGTGAATGAGTATGGTTTTAAGCTGCTATTAGCAATATTTTACTATCAACGGGGGACACAGAAATCGCCTTCCCACATTGTACCCACAGTGACAGTAGAAGACTAACACACATTTCAAAACATAAGGATCACAGGTTACAAGCATCACATGCTTTGTTAATTGAAAGTCTTATACTCCTTCTAATTAAACTTTGAAAAATATTAGATTAGTAGAATATGTTTTCCTTTCACCATGCAGCGTTTCTTACAAATATTTAATCATGAATGGGAGTTAAATCTAGTCATCTTTTGATGAGAGAACTTTCAAAAATTGTAGTGCCTTCCATTGATACATCATTTCTGCTATTGTCGATTTCTTTATCATCTGGAATCAAAAGGTACAATATACCTTTTTCCCTGGAAACTCGAGCAATTTCTCAATATTATCAGAAAAATTTCATCATTGAGACATGGCTGGCTTCTGGCACTGACAAATATTTCTGGAAATTATTCAGCAAAATCATGTCCATTACTTTCCCTCACAATTTGTTTCTTTAATTAATTTTCCCTGCTCAAAAAATAAAATCCTCATGTTTTTATTGGCCAAAAATGTAAACTTACAAAAAAAAAATTTTTTCATTGTTTTTTGCCCCATATAAACTTCATAAATTGCCAAAAATAAAATACTTTTAGTATTCAAAAGGAAAATTATTTTGACTAGTGATTTTTATTTTTTATTTTTTCCCCGCCTGCCTTTAGGTTTTCTGAGGACAAAAATCCGTAAAACACGAAATAAAATTGATCTTGCCTAATATTACATATTAATATTATATTGATTACTAAAGACACAATCTAGAACGATATCAAATTTATATTTTATGAGCTGCATATGTTATAAAACATGACATTCAATGAATTTGAACTTTTTTCAATAAACTTGAACACCAGAAGCACAGTGTCAAATGACGCAATGCATCAGTAATAACATATGTTTTATCATGTTCGTAATACTATAAGGAATACATATGTTACACTGTTCTGCATTATTATTCATAGGAACTTTTTCTTAAAATATTTCACAAAAATTATTGCATCTGTTACTAAATGCTGTAAAGCGTTAAGATATTTTCCCCACGATTCTGATTGGCTGACTCAAAACTCAAAAGAAAATTTAAAATTTTTCAACAACCTTCAATCCAGAACTGTTTTCTCAAAAGGATTTTCCTGCGAACTGTCTGTGCACCAACATGCAGCATTTGAAACAATACCTACACATAGAAGTGGGAACTCTCATGAATTGAACTACTAAAAATTAAAAGGAACCCTGTTAATGAACAATCAATAAATCAGTTAAACAAACTGTTCAAAGGAGAACATTTTATCAAGGTTAGAGCATACTCTGCCATACAACAAATGTTCTTTGCAGTCAGGATTTCATTTGAAAGGCTTTTTGTTTGCTGCACCGTCTGACCTCAATCAGCCAGAAAACTACAAATTTAGAGTGCATCTGCTTCATTCCTCTGCACAATTCTACACAATTTATGACTGTTCTTCTTCAATACATGCACAAAAATTGAAAAATAATCCTTAATTAACAAAATCTTTCATAAAGTCATTTCCAAATTGTGAAAATGTCATTGTCAAACTGGGACACCTCTCACATGCCTTTTGGTCATCATGATTTAAAGTAGACTCACTGAGGAGGTTAATAATTAAAATTTAATGTTTCAAAAGTTAACTTACGCCTTGTTGAACATAAAAACACACTTTCACTTGTTAGTGAGTGAGTGTGGTAGTTTAGTTTTACACCGCTTTTAGCAACATTCCAGCAATATCATGGACCCCAGAAATATGCTTCAGACATTGTACCAGTGTGGGGAATCGAACCCAGGCCTTTGGGTGAGGAAATGCTTTAACCACTAGGCTAACCACTGCCCCTTTCAGTTGCTAGATAAAGTTGATCACCAAAACAGGTATTCTATCCTTCACTCCCGCACAACACATTTCGATTAGTTATCAATGTCGTACTGCTACGTCAAAACAAACATCTAACTGTTAAAACATCCAAAAACATTTAATAGCTTGTGGCAAACTAAAGTCAGCATGAAGGTAAAACTGATCAACATCAACGTTAAAAGGAATGAACTTTCACCCAAAACATACTAATACATACAGAAGCCAGAAACTGGAACATTACAGAAGTGGTTTTGATCAGTTACGTTTGAATGGGTTCACATATTGTTGTACAACTGTCACACAGCATAGCTTCAGTAAGTGTACCGAATAATTTATTGCAAACAACGCTGGTCAGGGATGAGATGATCACTAATTCGTGGGGACTATCGTCAATGGAAGAGGTGGGTATAGACTAGTGGAGGTGCGATTAATTGAAATAATCGAAGATTGGTCGCAATGACTTAATGACCATGCAATTGATCATGTTTTCTCATAATCGAACACAAACAGTTTTGGAACACTTGTTTGCATTAACAATATTAACAATGTTTTTTTCTGTTACATTTCATAAGCACTACTAGCTCATTCCAGGTCAGGATTGAATTTATCTTAAAGACTCCAGGAAATTTATGTTCCTAACATACTAGTCATCCTGTAAAGAAGTGAAATTTGCAAATGCATTGTGTGCAATTTGCAAAAAAACCGGAAAGGACATGTGTTTTTTAAAAAAAATTGTGCATTAAGAAACATAACCACGAAAATTTGATAAATGACGCTAACCAATTATTTTCGATGATTCATCGGCTGTAATGAACCAATCATCAATTATGAGATTTTAGCCAATTCCCAACACTAGTATTGACACAGGGGATGCTTCACACACGAGACAGCAGGTGTATGGATGACGTGATGTGGTTACATACTCCAGGGGGCACAGTGACCTGTCCGTCCACGTGGTAACACAACGCGGTCATTGTGCTGCAACATTCACCCGCGGCTGGACACACAAGTGCTGATTCAGGCCTCCATTTGGCCAACTCTCAGACAATCTAATTACCCAATAAACCTAGACCATTATTGGATGAAAGAGAGCCCCAGAACATCTCTTGTCAGGTAAAGATCAGTGCTTCTGCTGTCAATACTCTCATAATCACCAGTGTAAAACTGGTGGTTTAGGTGGGAAACTTGACAGTTCCCACACGGATCCCAAGGCATGTAATTTAGCACTGAAATGTGATTGTATGCTGTCGGTGTCTGCCGAGTTGCCAGGTAATGTATGAATGATGAGAATTAAAGTCTCGTGTTATTGATGAAGCGTCAAACTCTCATTACCATAAAGTCGGTATTCCAGGACCCACTGAAGTGGATCAGAAGGCCTTCACAATAAAATCAAAGGATCTATTGTCAGCCATCATGGAGAAAAACAGTACCATATTGAACATGCTCCAACATGCATAACATCCCCACAATACACATCAACAGCCTAGAAATCAATATACCACATTGATATGTCAAATACCAGGACATAAAACATACTTGCAGTTACAGTTGAACCCAAATAGTCACTGACTGTTTCACGAAAACGGTTCTATAGGCATGGCATACTCACATCATTCGACATGGTCCTGTCCGTAGCTGACAAGGCTTGCTCGCTGCCGGACAGGGAGGCAGACTGTTCTGTCAGAAAGGCTTTGTTTTCGTACGTGTGCTGGTCATCTAGATCCGGTCCCGAGGTGGATTTAACGGATGGCTGTTGCTCTGGGGACAGGTCCACTGCAGCGCCATGCTGACTGTTGTCCTCTTCATCCTCACTCCCAGGAGGGCTAACATCATCTGTTGCTTGACCTTTCTCTGCCAGGGATGCTGCCTCCTCTGTTTGTTTGTCTGGTAATAACATGACACAGGGATTACACCAAGACCATGGTGCGGAACACTGAATTATAGATTCCAACTGGAAGATACAAGTGTTTATGGCCAGTAGAGGTTGTTGGTTCACAGCTAACTGCCATGGTGCCGGTATTGTCCCACTGCTGGTTCATACAGTTTTTATTGCCAGCAGTAAATCTCAGAACTACTGCCTGACCATTCCACTGCTGAATGCTCCATCTCATTTGTCAATGTTGCCCAGATTCCCTTCATCATGTCTCATAGCATGAATTATTCCACGGCATTATGTTGAAACAAAATGGAAATACGTGTCTGCCTAAAATATTGACAATAAACTGTATGTGTCTATTGTGTGTAATATGAACGGTTTTGAATGATAAAAACACACTCATTAGAGTGAGTGAGTGAGTGAGTTTTACGCACCCATGTGGAGAATGGAACTTTGGTTTTCGGCGTGATAAGCGAACGCTACAATCACTAGACTACCTCACCACCCCCACACTCAGTAGAAGTGGTGGAAAGATATTTTGTAGGAAGTAAACTGTGAAATTTGATTTCTTAATATGTCTTAAGGTACCATGGGTCTCTAAAGCATACTTGAATCTGTTTGATTCAATATTACATTTCAGCTTCTACTATATACACCTGTGCTTTGTCACAAGTACAATTGCCTTGCCTCTGCATGTTTTTATGACAATGCCACTAGTAGGCATGATATAGTCACCTTTTCGCAAACACTGTATCGTAGATAGACAGTTTCATAAACACATGCCCATGACAATCTCTTGTTTCGGAGACACTGAAAATGTCCAGTGTTTTGTTGTTCTGATTCTATTAATTACACATGCAATATTTGACATCAAAATCTAAAATATGCCAAATTAAAATCATGAAATTGAGTTAACAATTAAACAAAACATGTGTCACACGACAAACATATTCACTGTAGGTTAGTGAGTGAGAGAGTTTTATTTTTACGCCGCACTCAGCAATATTCCAGCTATATGGCAGCGGTCTGTAAATAATCGAGTCTGGACCAGACAATCCACTGATCAGCAGCATGAGCATCGATCTGTGCAATTGGGAACCGATGACATGTGTCAACCAAGCCAGCGAGGCTGACCACCCGATCATGTTAGTCGCCTCTTATGACAAGCATGGGTTACTGAAGGTTTATTCTAACCGGACCTTCAAGGGTTAACTGTAGGTTAAATTACAGTTGTGTTTGATTGTATGGGTGAGGAGGAATGTTTGAAAGAGCGTGGACATGTTAAAGAGTACCTCGTTAAATTTCTATTACAATGTTACTGGTATATATTGATGAGACCATATGCTCCACAATTCACCAACCACCTCACCAAATTTGCAAGTAAGTAGAACATGTGAATGAGAACTGGATGTTGATCCTTTCAATACATGCATGGATTGGACATATGTCAACACTAAATATGTATCTTAAATTGAGTAAATACACTGACTTTAGGGAATTTCAGGCATCTGATTTATTGTTGAAGACTACAAGTCCAAATTGAATTCAAGAGGACACACAAACAATGCAAACAAACTGTGGAAAATTCACATGGTGCCAAGCATCCATTTTCTCTCAGGTCAGCCATTTAAAAGGAGAACACTTGCAAGTGCAAAAAAAAGACAGGAAATTAAAAAAAAAAGGCCAATTGAAGATGCCAATTTTAAATTTTTCCACACCATTAAATTCAAGATATTCTTGACGGAACAATGAGCAGATGATGATTTAGACAGGATGTCACATGACAACATGGCTGAAACTTTGTGCAAATGATACTTTGATAATTGTTTCTTTAACCAATCCTAAGATACCTTAGCTGCTGTAGCTCGTTTTTGTAACGCTACTGTATCTTTCCGATATTCCCATGGGCTGTAGTAAATTTTATCCAGTATTAATTAATATTGGTGTCCCTTTAATACAATCACATTCAAAATTTGTGTGGATGACATCAAAAGAATACTGTTCAACCAAATTTACAAATTATTAGTGGGGAAGCCAAATTGGGGTGAATTTTTTTTACTAATGGCGGGAGATCCCGTATCCCCATTGTCTATACTGCAGATGGACATTTCTGTAATGCATGAGATGCAAGCTGCCGTACACTGAAACCTGCCACTAATAGAATAATGTGAACCAAGTTAAACCTGAAATAGGGTGAGTGTGAGTGAGTGAGTGAGTTTAGTTTTACATCATATTCCAGCAGGGCGGGGGGCACTAGACCAGAAATGGAGAACAAATATACCTAGCTGTTACTTTACAATTATACTATTCCTTGAAAGCAGGGCATGTTTTTCATCCATTTCTTTCTAAAATAACTACATACACAGCATTAAATGTTAACAACTGTATATATTTAATAATCTCAGAACATTCAGAACTAACTGATCCTGGGGGAGTTACCGTAGTTAACACAATCAGGGCCCACCCCCAATAACCATCCTTATTCACAGACTGCAAGCCTTGCCACCCAATCAGTCATCATGAAGACGACTTTCTAAATGCCATGTTGCTGCAGCTATGAAATTCCGAGCTCTGGGATTTTAATCGCACAATGGACCTTTTGATCCGAGGTCCATCACCTTGTCCACATGACCAAAGAGGATAACCCTATCAGCAAGCTGTCAAGGTAAGGTTGTCTTCTGTGGGATGACTCTATCCCGTCTCGAGTATTGGAACATCAGATGCTTAATTGGCATTTTAGAAGATGATATTTGATGAACATAGAGATCTTTTCTGGGTTACATCTTCTTTTTATTCTCGAGTACAACGTTTCCCGATCATGAAATTGACTGGGAAACTGAAGTCCTCGCAAAAAACATCAATGACTGGCGGAAACGCAAGTTGATTGAAGCTATCTTCATCAAACGCACAAAACCAGCAATAAACAGGGATCAGGGTGTCTACCTCCCTAATGCATGGTACATAAAACAATAAGACAATACCCTACCCTCGTCACTGTTCCCATGTATAAAGCATAATTTCTATGTATACACTGCTATTACTTTACATTCTATACATTTATAAATACGTCTCTGTACATTTCTAAATCAATCAACAATTTTGTATAAGTATCTGCACATCCATTAATTTTGCAGTAAACAACATCTTATATATTCATAATAACATGTATTCTATTAGCCATGTCATCTGTATCTATTGACCACCACATGTATTGCATCGTCATAGCATTGTGACGTCACGGCCAGAGTTAACAGTTACTGTTCAGTTTTACCTGATGATGGGGCCAGAACAAGCCCTGAAACGTTGTACTCGAGAATAAAAAGAAGATGTAACCCAGAAAAAATCTCTATGTTTATTGGAACATCATTGAAATCTGGATTAATCCCCACTGATAATACATCTGCAAACAGCATCTTGACTATTGCAGAGGAATCTAGGAATGTTATTTTTTTCAGGATTGTCAATGTCATGATGAATATTATGAGAATCATTTTCGGCAGCTATTTTACCCACGTTGATGTGACATCTTGATTGAGAGAGAACAATGACTCCAACTCAATTGGTTTTCAGATTCAATCAGTCAATCGTGCATCCCATGGGAGAGGCGGGACAAAGTATGTGTGTCCATTTTCAGGAAAATCCTAGTGAATCAAATGTTTAGGCTGTATCACTCAAAGTGTTTAAATGTGCAGTGTTTTGTTAATGTTTGTCTGGAAAGGTCGGAAAAGACTTTTAAAGTAAACATTCTTTGAAGCAGATTGTAAAAGAAAAATTTTGTAAAAGAGAAAATTGATCACAACTTCTTTCCCTTTGAAACCTTTTTCATACAGACTAATTATGTTTCATCATGCAGCTTCTTCTAAAACAAAATGTCATCTTTAAAGGTGTTCACCATGCATGTATGTAATTCTAGGCCAGAAAGTGCTATTGATTTCTGTAGCACACAACACCAGTCCGTGGTGAAAGAATCACTTCAAGACATTGATGTGTGTCATGGTGAGCGGGCAGACAGGGGAAGTGAATAGAATCCTTCAACTGTGAAATCTGTCAATAACAGATTAAGTTATGGGCTGCAATTCACTTAAACTTATTAAATCAGAACAAGATTTATCAGGTGTAATGTGTGTGTGTGTGTGTACTTCATATGGTCATTGATGTGTGTGTGTGTGTGTGTGCGTGTGTGTGACATTACACAGTATCAAGGTGAGGTGAGGTGAAATTGGGTTGTGCTTGAGAATATTTCGCTCATATGACGACGTGCATGCGTGTGTATGTGTATGTGTGGCTGCTTGTACTAGCCCAGACTGAAGCTGGTTTTATAGTGCCAGCCCACTGAGATACCATGCCGCAGTGAAGCATGAATACCCCACTCAGACACATTATACTGACTCCGAGCCGACCAGTCCTTGTTGTACCCATTAATGCTGAGCGCCAGACAGGGACCAACAAGTACCATATTTTAACGTCTTTTTGTATGACGCTGTCGGGGATCGAACCCGCGACCTTCTGCTCTCCAGGCGGATGCTCTAACCACTACACCACGGAGGCGGTCCAGTATGAAGGTACTTGATATGATCACTGTTGTGTATGTGCGTATGTGCGTGCCAGTACAAAGTATGAAGGTACTTCATATGATTGCTGTGTATGTGCATGCGTGCCAGTACAGAGTATGAAGGTACTTCATATGATTGCTGTGTATATGTGTGCGTGCCAGTACAGAGTATGAAGGTACTTCATATGATTGCTGTGTATGTGTGCATGCGTGCCAGTACAGAGTATGAAGGTACTTCATATGATTGCTGTGTATGCGTGCCAGTACAGAGTATGAAGGTACTTCATATGATTGCTGTGTATGTGCATGCGTGCCAGTACAGAGTATGAAGGTACTTCATATGATTGCTGTGTATGTGTGATGCGTGCCAGTACAGAGTATGAAGGTACTTCATATGATTGTATGTATGTATGTGCCAGTACAGAGTATGAAGGTACTTCATATGATTGCTGTGTA